CCAGGCTGGTCTCGAACTCACAACGATCTTCCTTCCTTAGCCTGCTGAGTGCTGGAATTAGAGACACTCAGAGAGGGAACTAAATGTGCAAAGATCCAGAGGTGGCAGTACATCAGGCAGCCAGAATACTACATCAGGAAGCCAGAAGGCTCCTGAAGAGGAAGGTAGAATATGCTGTGCTGAGTCCTGGCCAGTAGGTGTCTCTCTTACCGTTTTATTCTGTCTTAGAACTGTCACTTATTTTAGCGTCTTACTGAATTTTAGCACTTTCTTTCCTTGTAAAAAAAAGATGGAAAATTATCCATGGATTAACATGTTTCAATGTGTGAAATTTAAAGGCTTTAGTTGCTTAAGGGATTGAGTGAACTTCTAGATAATAGCAGACATATTTATTACTTAGATGTCAGAGTTCTCAGCTACCATTTGTAAGAATTTTAAACGACTCCATTGAAAGGGGCAACTAGCTTATCATTCATGGAAGAAAATCAGTATTGAAGTGATTTAGCATTTCTACTTGCTGATAAAAAATAAATGAAATAAAAGCCTTTCTATGCTAATGGAGACAAGAACAGTAGAGAGATCTGGCTGTTTATTCCACTGAGCCTTCTCCCCAGCATGGCTGTTTATATAGCAGGTAGGGAGTCACTTTCACGCCATTTCCTATAGTCTTGAGTATCACCTGTACTGTGCAGGCCAGAACTGGTGCAAACCAGTCCCATGCTCCCAAGAAGTAAAGGTCTTTTTTTATATTTTAGAGAAGGGTCTACAGGGTGTTCAGGGTCTCAGTACTAGATCGGTGTCACAGTGATTCTCCTGTTTACAGCCTTCCAAGAGCTAGGATTACAGGCCACACACAGTCTCAATTACCACCTTAGCATGCCCCAAGGTTAGGGCCAGCACACATTAGGCCCAGGTATTGAACCCCCGGTCCCTGCACCTGCTTGTGGACGCTTTACTCCACTGAGCTATTTGGCCAGTCCTAGAGATGTATCTTAAAAGGAAGCCTCAATGCACTGATCAGAAGCTTTCCACCAACAGTGACATCAATTATTAACAACTCTTTTTTTCCTAAATCACATGTTATCATCATCTTGTTGATGCCATTTTGTGTGTGTGTGTGTGTGTGTGTGTGTGTGTGTGTGTGTGCATGTGGGGGTGGTTACTGAGGCTTTACCCCGGAAGTGCTAGTTTATCCCTGAGCCCTTTTAATTTTTCGCTTTGTTGCAGGGTTTTGCTATGTTGCTGAGGCTGGCCTCAAACCTGCAGTTCTTTTGCTTTAGCCTCCTAAGTAGCTGGGATCATGGAAGGGCAGCACCATGCCAGTGGCCGTTTTTCTTTAGACATACCTGCAGTTTTCTTTTTATATTCAGACAAGTACAGATTTCTGTTCATCCAGCAGGCACTGAATGCCTCTCAGTGCCAGGTATAAAGCTAAACCTTGGGGATAAAAACTCAACGGAAGAGAGGCAGTCTTTTTATTATTATTATTACAATTATTATTATTTTAGCAAAACAGTGAAGGCTATAATCAAAGATACGTAAGATTAACCAGTAAATTCAGAGGAAGACATATTTGATTTCTTTTTATGCTTTGATTTGGGAATCACTTTGCTGCAATGTAATGTCTGAAGCACCAGATTGCTTCTGTTTCATGGCTGTCTTGAAGGGTTTATCTATGGAAGGTCATGCTTTCCTTTTCTCTCCATTGTTGTTGGTATGGCTTCCCACCTACTGCCTGTGACAGCTATGTGCAGAGACAGGCAGGGAGCCAATGGGACTATTAGTATAGAGCGTTCCCCATAATGACCTTTTTTTTTTTTTTTGGTGGAACCAGGGATTAAACTCAGGCCCTTGTGCTTGCCAGGCAAGCGCTTATTCCACTAAGCCATCTCCCTGGCCCCCATAATGACCTTTTTATGAAAATAGTTCAGTTAAAGGTAATGAGAGTATAACATTGTACTACAGTTTAGACTGCAGCTGCTGGAGTGAGATATATATTGGAGTTTAAATTGTGACTCCATTATATCTTTATTATGCAATTTAAAGAAGTCTTAGCTTCTTTATTTTTTATGTATTTAGGACAGAACAGGGTCTACAGGGCCTACAGGGTCTCATTATGTAGATCAGACTCATCGTGATCTTCCTGTTTTTAGCCTCCCAAGATCTGGGATTACAGGCATGCGCCACCATGCCCAGTCTCAATCACACAATCACAGTCTCAGCGCGCCCTGTGGTGGGCCCGCATGGCACACCAGGGATTAGACCCTAGGCCCTGCACCTGCTTAAGCAGGTGCTTTAGTCTGCTGAACTGGCTGGCTGGTCCTTAGCATTTTTAAAGCTGTTTCCTCAACAATATTTTAAAGATGATAAAAACTTTCCACTCAGTTGATTAGAAAATTAAAGGAGATAAAGTGGTACAAAATGCCTGTCATGTCATAAGGCCTTACAGCTTTTAGTTGTTAGAGAAATCTGAGTGAGAGTCAGGACAATGCTGGTAAATCTATGGCATGAGTGCTGCAGCAAGCTGTTAATTATCGCCGAGAGAAAGGTTTGCCATCTCGGGGTTAAGAGGAGTATTTTTACTTGCTTTAAAATTTTGTATCCTAGGGCTAGGGAGACAGCTCAGTAGAGTAAGTGCTTGCCTGGCAAGTGCAGAGTCCTGAGTTCAATTCCCGGAACCACTAGGGAGGCTGAAAACAGGAGGATCACTACTTCTGAGCTATGTAGTTAGATCCTGTATCAGATACATAAAAAATTGTATTCTGATGTTATTTCTTCAAATTATTTATATTCATTGTGGGGAATTCGTACATGCATAACACTTCTCAATTGTTTTCCCTTTCCCTTCATGCAAAAAATGTATTTATTTGTTTATTTATTGCCAGTCTTGGATTCACTTACTTATCTGATGAGTCATTATAAAGTTAATTATTACAGGCATGGTGGTGCATGCCTGTCATCCCAGCACTTGAGAGGCTGAGATAGGAAGATTGTCAAGTGTTTGAGGCCAGCCTTGGCTATATAGTATGTTTAAGTTCAACTTGAATTACATGGCAAGAACCTGTTTCAAAAAGCCAACCTTCCCCCCTCTAAAAAAAATACCCAAAACAAAACAAAAAATAAAATAAATTATTGTATATGCAGATTAACAACTAGACTAACAGGCCAAAAGACATATAAAACACATAAGATAGTTATACTAAATCAAGGTGCATTTATTTATTTATTTATTTATTTATTTATTTATACTTAGCAGAGTCTACAGGGTCTCACTACACAGATGGGACTTGTAGTGATCCTTCCTGTTTTTCAGCCTCCCAAGCGCTGGGATTACAGGTGCGCGCCACCATGCCCAGTCTCAATTGCCATCTCAGCATGCCCTGGGGGTGGGGCTGGCACAGCAAGCTGGGGATCAAACTCCTGGCCCCAGCATCTGCCTAGGCAAGGTGCACTTTTAAATATACTGTCTATTCTGGATTATAGTAACTTTTTTTCATTCTTTTTTTCCTATTATCTGCACTTTATTTTGCATTTTATTTATATATTTAGTTTTCTCATATGAGAGAAACCATGAGATGGTTATATATATATATATATATATCTGATTTCCACCATAAACTATGAATTGGTACATATTTTTTGCAACAACAATAATAAAGAATTAAGATTTCTCACTGTTGGGAGGACTGAGAAAAGATTTCTTTTAAAAAGAATCAAGAAGAAATGCTACTAGGGATACAAGGAAGAAGGATGATACTAAACAGAAAGGAATTGGCATCGAAAGGGCAAAAAAAGTATGGGAAAGGGGCAACAAGGGGCTCACTAAATCTGCAAGTTTAGTTCCATGGCTTCCTTAGAATTCTCATCTTGTTCTTAGGGCTTGGATACTTGATTCTTTTCAAGGTGTGGATGGCAAAAGTTTCCCCCAAATTTGTAGAGAATGGTGCTGGAGCCCATGCTTTTTTTCCCCCATAATTTTATTGAAAAACAAATAGCAATGAGACAGTTTCAAATCAAATTGGTAGGACAGTTTCAATGATTAACACATTGCATACATTCTTCCTAGTGGTTAATTGCTGTACAAGATGCGGACTTGATATCCTATTTACAAACATCATTAGAACAAATCCCTCTATTCATTAAGAGAATGTAACTATATATCTAGCCTAACCATTTTGAATACACAGATACAAAATGGACATTCATCTGTATCCCCTTTTTTTTGGTTAAGTTCCATCATTTAAATATTATAGGTGTGTAAACTCAGTAAAATATTCTAAAAGAGTTCAGTAGTCCATAATAGTATTGGGTCTTCTGCTTCACTGGCAGTGTCAGAAATTGTTGACCTGAGTCCCCTACTGCTCAACATAACAGCATGGCTTTACTTCTTATACTTCGTTTTTATACTTTTCTGCTGGATGGTTAAGACCAAGGTAAAGCAGGACCTATGCAACAAGAGTTGTAGCTTTTGGGTCTGATAAGGTCAGTGAAATCCCCTCTGGATTTATCCTGAGATTCTGTACCTCAGATTGTAGATCCTTTGTCAGTGTCAGCCATGTGGATGAGTCATGGCCATTGCTTGGCCAGTGTGCTCTCTGTGAAAGCCTGAGAGAATGTTTTCTCTCCATGTGACTCTCCTTTGGCACACTCTACATCATCGATCACTTTCCTCTTTGGCCCCATAATCTCCTTGATCGGGAAATTTGGGACACTGCTGAGTTACATGATGTTACAGTACAAGTTCTCATATGTCCTGAGTCTTAATTGATGGAATAAGCATTTTTTTTTTTTTTTGCTCCGAATGCCTTCAGGGCAGGTTTGGCTGGCTTGAGTTGTGGGAATTGAACCATAGCAACCTGAGCCTGACTGCTTTGTTGAAGCAATCACTTAAAGAACTGAGCTAAGGGGCAGGCCCCTTAGGTCTGCTTGTTCTTAATGGACTAAACTTCTTTATCTGTGCTTCCTTAGCTGGGCCTAATCTGTTCATTTTTCATCCACAGTGGCATAGATGTTCACTATGAAGTTACCTTCAATGGGGAGGCAATCAGCAATACCACGTGGGACATAATTAGCCTTCATTCCAACAAAGTAGAAAACCATGGCCTTGTGGAACTGGATGATAAACCCACTGCTGCTTATACAATTGGTAACTTCAGAGATTATATTGCTGAGATACTGCACCAAAATATTTTGGTAGGGAATTCCTCCTTGAATCCAGATCCGGACTCTCTTCAGCTTATCGATGGTGAGTTTAATTGATGTCATAGAGGTTTTGTTTTTACAGCTTGGAATTCTTTTCCACTATGTTCTTGTGAAAAATACTTTCCCTATGTGTGGCTCAGAGTGTTTTGAGATGGTGTGAAACAAGAGCCATTGTGTTACATGGAACTTCAACTGTGAAGCTGTTTTTGATAGTGTAATCAAAAGCTCTTTGGGATGTTTGTAGACAGATTGGGGAAGTGGAGAATAGCATGACACTCAGAAATATTTGGATAAGTGGGGGCAAAGTATAATGAGAAGGAAAGTTGTACTTGAAAGTATGAATTAAAGCAGTCTGTCATGTTGCAAGGCAACTAAAACATGAGCTCTAGCCTGAACTGCATAGGAAAACCCTGTCTCGAAGAGACCCAAAACAAAACAAATAAACAAAATTGAGCATAGGGTGTAAACACCACAGTCACTAGTCAATGTGACAGGAAAATGGCATGAAGATTAATGTATCTGACAGGCAAAGTGAGGTTGTTTAGGAAGGTAAACCCACAGATATCAATTGCAAGATCTTCTCTTACATGGAGCCTAGAAGAAGAAGAAGCTCTTAAAGGATTTCTGAAAAAGAGGTCAACAGCTCTCTTAGAATTTGTAATCAAGTTCAACAAAAGCTTTAAGATATCCTACTGACCATGCCAGTTATTTCTCTTTAAATATATATTTTAATTATTCAAAATTTTGCTCCTAAAGTACATTTCTATTGTACCAACTTCAGAGTTCTGAATGGGACTTTCTAGGTAACTTGATTATCACTCTCAAAAGATATGTTCATCCTTGATCTTGTGGAGCTTATTCTCTGTAGAAGACAACATAATTATACACACAGCTGGAAAGAGTTTTGAAAAATATGTAAACAGGATTTTTGACTTCTGCTTAATCGTTGTATGTCAGTCTAGTGAGAGCAGGTGAATAGTTTTGGCTTTTAGTTTACAAGCGTTTCCCCGGTTTTATTTCTGGCAATCACTTCTTATCTTTTATTGATTCTTTTTCTCCTTCAGGAAAAATTAATTGCTTCTTTGTCTTTGGTACATATATGTCATTCTCACATTATTTTATTTTTCTAATTAGTGTTTATTTATTTCTCTGACATACACAATGCTGCCTAAGAGAAATTTTGCTTTATTAGCACTTATAATTTCACATGAGCAAAATCTGAGGTTAAAAACCAAACTTTCAGCAAATCTTTGTTGGATTAAATTATGCAATCTATTTTTTAATTGCTATTTAATATTATTAGAGAAATAAAGATATTGGAGTCCTAGTCCATTTTTCAAAGGCATTGACTCCTAAAATAAAAATTATTTTGCATACTTTTTACTATTCTTACATTTACCCAAACTTTAAAGGTATTTATGTAAACTTTTTTTACTTAAGATGAAAAGAATCGGGGTTGGTGAGATGGCTCAGTGGTCTAAAACACCTACTTAGAACAAGCTTAGCAAAGCACATGGACCGCGGTTCAATCCCCCAGCACCACATGCCAACCAGCCTCACCCCCTGGTGGGCTGAGCTGGACACACACACACACACACACACACACACACACAAATAAATAAAATTTTTTAAAAAAGATGAAAAGAATCATTTTGAAACTATTCCATGGAAATCTGGAAAAAGTGAAAACTGATTTGAGAGAGAAAAAATAATATAGGTATGTCTTAAATGTGACAACCTTTATGAATATTAAAGAATCTTTATTTTATGTCGGATTCTTATAATTCAATCAGCTTGTACTAATATATAAAATACCTGAACAACACTAACATTTTCTAAGCAATCATTCCTCAGATATTTGGCTAACATCTAGTCTAGTAAAGAGAAAGAGCTTGTTTTTTAAAATCTATCTCTGTACCTCCAATACAGCAGTGTCTTCCCTAAAAAAATTCCTTTAATATTGTTCTTTCCCCAGTGAGAGGAGTTTTGCTTCCTGCAAATGAAGACCTAGCTTGGAACATCCAAAGTTCAAGTCTTCAGTCCACGCCACCATCTCTTCTGGTATGTTTCTTCGTTTTATGCCTAGAACCAGCCAGTTACACTCTGTCCTTTGTTTCCTCACCTGCTTACTTTGGCATCATAAATTTCCCAAGCTGCTCCCTTTCCAAGTATTTCCTCGCATCACCCCTGAAACATTACTCATCCTTGCCAACTCATGAGCACCAAGTGTTGGACCTTCTGTAGTGGTTGAGTGAAGCCTGCTTTGCCAAGCCACACATAATAGAGAGCTTATCCGTGCTTGTTTGGTGATAATTAAGTTGTAAGTGCCCACCAAGTTGCTTTCTATGCTACCACCCCAGCAATAGTTTTTTATAATGAAGACAAGATTATGTTTGAGTTATCAGATACAGTGTACATATACAGTATACAGTATACAGTATTGTATGTATATAATTTTTTTTGTGTATTTAGTTCAGGGTATTCAGGGTCTTACTACACAGATCAGACTCATAGTGATCCTCCTGTTTAGCCTCCCAAGGGCTAGGATTACAGGCGTGCACCACCATGCCCAGTCTCAATAGCTGTCTCAGAATGCCCTAGAGGAGGGGTGGCATGACACACAGAGGGGGTGAGTATCGAACCCCCATGTCTGCGTCTGCCTAAGCAGGTGCTTTAATCCAAAGAGCTATCTGGCTGGCCCCCCAGTGTATATATTTTTCTTGAAAGCACAAGAATTATCAACTAGCTAATCAATAAGAGGGACTTTGAGGCCTTCTCTTAAACTGCACTGAAAACATTTCCATTTGCACATGAGCAGCATCAAATGAATTTCCATGCTTGTTTTTACTCCTGCTCTATTAAGAATTCTTCTTTCCCCACTATGTTTTTACTTTCCTTTTCATTTATAGGGAAACATACACTAGAAATGAAAATGGCTTCCTCAAGTGCAGTTATAGCCACAAAGATGACACCTGCAACCACAGTGCTAGGAACGGAACCTGTCTCCAGGGTAGGGGACTCTCTTATTCTCACAGACACATGAGGGGAACTTCCTTCTCACCTTCATCACTGACTCTTTGTACTCTCTTTGGACGTCTTTTCATCTTTTTCAGCTGTTTGAAATTTTTGTTTCTTGACATTTTTTAAACAAAGAAAATTGGAAAGCCTTCCTACATTCATTCAAACATTGATCTAACATTTCTTCTGCTTAGTTATAGAATAATTCAGTTTTGAAATATGGAGTCACTGGTAATAATCTTTCACTGAGTTTTATATAAAAAAAGGTTAAGGGAATATCAATATCAGAGTACTTTCATTTGGCACTCATTCATTCCTTCATTTTGTGCTTGTCTTTTCTTTTTAATGTATTTGGTAGAGTCTCACTACATAGCTCAGACTTGTAGCAGTCCTTCTGTTTTCAGCCTCCCCTGCACTGGGATTACAGGTGTGCAATACCATGCCTAGTTTTGGTGTCTGGCTCAGCATGCCTGTGGACAGGGCTGATGCAGCATGTGGTGCTGGGATTGAACCCTGATCCCTGTGCTTGCCTAAGCATGCACTTAGTCCACTGAGCTATCTCGCCAGCCCTATTTTGTGCTTTTCATATGCCAAGTGTTGGGGAAACAAACATGTGCAAGGTGGGGGCTCATTTACCAGAAGTTTCCAGTCTGGTAGCAGACTTCTAAACAAATAAGATGATTCACATTCCAGGAGTAGTTTTAGACAAGTAAGAGGAGAAATATTAATTCCCTAATATGGACCATCACTTATTTATTTTATTTTTTCATTACTTATTTATTGAAGAACAGAATTTGGTATTGAACAGATGGCCTTGTTAATTTCCTCTGAATTATTGAAGTGAAATATCTATCTATCTATCTATCTATCTATCTATCTATCTCAAATATATATGATTTTATTTTTTAATGTATTTAGTATAGGATATACAGGGTCTTACTACACAGATTGGATTTGTAGTGAGCCTCCTATTTTCAACCTCCCAAGTGCTGGGATTACAGGTATGTGTCACCAGGCCCAGTGCTGGCCTTGCTACCATCTCAGTGTGCCCTGGTAGCGGGGCCAGCACAGCAGGCCTGAGATTGGACTTCTGGTCCCTGTGTCTACCTAAGCAGATGCTTTTATCCACTAAGCTGTCTGACCAGCCCTTTATATATGATTTTAAGTGCTAGAAAAAAGGAAAAATAATGGTACTTTCTTTCTGTACAATCTTCCTATTCTATATAGTAGACATTTAAATATTAATAAATAGCCTTTTCTCCTTCCCCACTGTGTTAGTTGGTCTTAGAGTTCTATGGAAAATGCTAACCCATTGAGTATAGCTTGTCAAGTCTCATTTGGTTCCATTCTGAGAAACATTTCACCACCTGTTTATATGAACTTGGAGAGACCTCTGAACATTGCCTGGTAGAGTGGGGGAGAACACGGACGAGGAAGTCTAGAGGCTCAGCTTCTAATTCTGAGGTTTTATTCCCTCTCTCTTTTTTTCTTTTTGAAATAATCATAATTTTAAATAGTTGATAGCTTCTTGTTGGCTCCAAATAGGACAATTAAACGATATTACTTAAAGACCCCCAAGCGTGTTCATACCACCTCAGCTGTGTTGGCTTCTATCTACAGTGCTGCCTAATTAAGATTTCTATAGCTTTAGACCCCCTCCAGGGTTATGGAAATCATGTTTTTTGAAAATATTTTTTTTT